TAATGAAAATAGAGCACTGCTTGGAAAACCTCACAAATCCAGCTCCGAACATCATCCTGCTTGGGGACTTCAACCTACGGCACCTGAAATGGAAGCACCTGGCTAATACAGTAATATCAGAAAGAATACCAGGAAGTAGCCTAAATGAGCAGGCACATGCAAATGACCTGCTACGGATGTGCGATAGGTTTGCCTTAAACCAGCAAATAGTAGAACCAACTAGGAAGGAGAACACGCTGGACCTCATTTTCACTAATAATGATGAGTTGATCGGGAACATAATGATTACAAATACCTGTTACTCAGATCACAACTTAATTGAAGTTCTGACAACCATGGGGAATGGACCTTCAAAACCAGTCCAGATTCCCGGTGGAGGAGATTTCAGCAAATTCAACTTCAATAATAAACGGATAAACTGGGAGCAAATAAACCAGGACTTCACAGAAATAAACTGGGAAGAACAGCTAGGAAATGCAAACCTGAACCAGTGCCTGGAAAAAATAAGCTCAGTAGCACTAGAAATATGTTCAAACCGCATACCCCTAAGAAAAAAGAGAAAGAGATGCAGATTGGAACGGGAACGTCGTTCCCTATATAGGCGAAGAAAACGAATCGCGGAACAACTTGAGAGTCGCACCCTATCTCAAGAACGGCGAAGAAGGTTAGGTAGAGAAATAGAAACAATTGAACTCAAGCTACAAGAATCATACAAAACCCAGGAGAGGCAAAGAGAGCAAAAGGCCATCAGTGAAATAGAGAGAAATCCGAAATATTTTTTCTCCTATGCAAAATCAAGATCAAAAACCACATCTAGTATCGGGCCCCTGCGAAAGGGAGATGGAACTTTCACAGATGACAACAAAGAAATGAGCGAGTTACTGAGGAAGCAGTACGACTCTGTTTTCAGTGAGCCATTAAATGCACTAAAGATTGATAACCCAAATGAATTTTTCATGGATATGATACCAACATCAAATCACATATCAGACGTCGCCCTATCCCCACTAGATTTTGAAGAAGCCATAAACAGTATGCCTATGCACTCTGCACCAGGCCCGGATTCTTGGAACTCCATATTCATCAAGAACTGTAAAAAACCACTATCGCAGGCCCTTCACATTCTGTGGAGACAAAGCCTAGATACTGGCGTTATCCCTGACATACTAAAAACAGCAGAGATAGCACCACTCCATAAAGGAGGAAATAAGGCAGAGGCAAAAAATTACAGACCGATAGCACTAACATCGCACATCATAAAAATTTTTGAGAGAGTGCTAAGAAGTAAGATCACAAAATACATGGAATCACAGCATCTCCATAACCCCGGACAACATGGTTTCAGAACAGGGCGCTCTTGCCTGTCGCAGTTGCTGGACCACTATGATATGGCATTAGATGCTATGGAAGACAAACAAAACGCTGATGTAATTTACACAGATTTCGCAAAAGCTTTTGATAAATGTGACCATGGTGTTATTGCACATAAAATGCGTTCAAAAGGAATTACCGGGAAAATAGGCAGATGGATCTACAATTTCCTGACTGACAGAACCCAATGTGTAATAGTCAACAAAATAAAATCCAGCCCATCAACCGTGAAGAGCTCAGTCCCCCAGGGTACTGTGCTTGCTCCAGTACTTTTTCTCATCCTCATATCGGACATAGACCAGAACACAACCTATAGCACTGTATCATCCTTTGCAGATGACACTAGGATTTTCATGAGAGTTGGCAACATAGAGGACACGGCAAACCTCCAATCAGATGTAGATCAGGTCTTTCTATGGGCTACAGAAAATAATATGGTATTCAACGAGGATAAGTTTCAGCTCATGCGCTACGGAAAAATTGAAAATATAAAAACAGAAACCACGTACAAAACGCAGGCAAATCATAACATAGAACGAAAAGGCAATGTAAAGGACCTGGGTGTACTCATGTCGGAAGACCTTACCTTTAAAGAACACAATAAAGTAGCCGTCACAACTGCAAGAAAAATGACAGGTTGGATAACAAGAACTTTTCACACTAGAGATGCTATACCGATGATGATACTTTTCAAAACGCTTGTGCTCTCTAGAGTGGAGTACTGCTGCACAATGACAGCCCCTTTCAAAGCTGGAGAAATTGCTGACCTAGAGAGCGTGCAGAGATCCTTTACTGCTAGAATCCACTCAGTAAAACATCTAAATTACTGGGACCGACTAAAGAGCCTAAATCTGTACTCCCTTGAGCGCAGGCGGGAGAGATACATAATAATTTACACGTGGAAAATAATTGAGGGGCTGGTCCCAAACCTGCACACAGAAATAACACCACATGAGACCAGAAGACATGGCAGGATGTGCAGAATACCCCCGTTGAAAAGCAGAGGTGCAACAGGTACTCTGAGAGAGAACTCTATCAACATCAGAGGCCCGAGACTGTTCAACACGCTTCCACTACACATAAGGGGCATAACTGGCAACCCCTCACAGTGTTCAAGAGAGAACTGGATAAGCACCTCCAAAGGATACCTGATCAACCAGGCTGTGACTCATACGTCAGGCTGCGAGCAGCCGCGTCTAACAGCCTGGTTGATCAGTCCAGCAACCAGGAGGCCTGGTCGACGACCGGGCCGCGGGGACACTAAGCCCCGGAAGCACCTCAAGGTAGCCTCAAGGTAGTCATTCCCCTTTCCATGGAATGGATGGTCGACACCAACTTGGTTTTTTTTTTATATAGATATATACAAGAGTTGTTACGTTCTTGTACAGCCACTAGTACGCGTAGCGTTGCGGGCAGGTCCCTGGAATACGATCCCTGCCGCGAAGAATCGTTTTTTCATCCAAGTACACATTTTACTGTTGCGTTAAACAGAGGCTACAGTTAAGGAATTGCACCCAGTAAATCCTCCCCGGCCAGGATACGAACCCATGACATAGCACTCGCGGAACGCCAGGCGAGTGTCTTACCACTACACCACGGAGACTGTAAATTGGCTCTGCCAGACATACGAGCGCCCGGAGGTGAACCTCTTCGTGTCAGCATGGTCGAGGTGTCTCCCGGTATATGTGGCGCCCTTCCCCAAATGCGAGGCCATCAGGGTTGATGCCTTTTGGTAGGACTGGTTGAGGATTACCTGTACAACCCGGGGAACTTTTCCGCGGCTCCGTCTCTTTCAGCAGATCAGTTGGGTCCAGGTTGATCATCTCTGATTTCCGCGTCTGGTCTTTCTGACTTGGATTTATCACCATTTATATTGTGATCAGGTGGCTTCGTTGATGGGGATCCACCTGCATGTTTCGTCTCAGCAGCAGTATGAAGTCTCCTTTCGTCAATTTTTGTCACTTCGTAGGTTGTCTTTTGTTTCAGATCTGGTTGTTTTGTCCTTTCTTGATTGTTTCAGGACAGTCTTCCTATGCCAAATACTGTCGCCTTGTATCATGCAGTGCTGGCGGAGCCGCTCCTGCTTGCGTTCGGGGTGGATGTTACTTCCGCTCCATTTTGCAAGTTGTCTCGTGTGTTGTTTCACCTAACAGTGCTCATTCGCCACCAGAGCCATCCTGGTCGTTGGACTGGGTGCTCTCTCTTCTCTCTTCTCCTCGGTGTGTGGTGGGGCCCTTCGATTCGGGATTGTTTTGATAAGGCTCTTGTTGGCATTGGCCTCTGGTGGTTGTGTCAGGGAGCCTCATGCTGTCTTCCGGCGCAGGGGTTTCTGGTCTTTCGGTCCTGGTGGTAGGTTTGTTCATTTGCAGCTGTCTCCTTCTTTTCTTTGAAGAACGAAATTGTGGCTTTCTGGAGGGGTCCTTGTGTTGTTGATGCTTGGCTGGTTCGGCCAGGGGTGTATCATATGTTGTCCAGTAGCGGCTTTTCAATGTTATTTGCTCGCCATGGCCTCGGTGGCCGGGGACGAGCTTTGGGTTGACTGTTTCCCTTCTTTCCTGTTCCAGAGCTCGGGCCAATGGGTCTCCCAGGTTGTCTGCAGGGTTATTCGGTCCAGCCAGCCTGTGGTCTATCCTCGTGCCCATGACATTCGTAACATTGCAGCTTTAGCTGCCGTTTTTGGTAATGTCTTGGGCTGATATTCGGGTGTGAGGGTTTTGGAGGTCAAACAGTCCTGTATGCCCGTTACCTCGTTAATGTTCCTGGCCCTAGTCAGACGTGTCACTTTGAGTCACAGGTTGCAGCCAGTTGTCTCAACTTCGAGTTGAGGTGTGAGTGGGGGCTGCCTCTTGTGTACGTCCCTCTTTTATTTTTCTGGGGTTATGTAGCTCTGGGGAGCTGGAAGGGCTCTCCACAGAAAATCAGCATTGAATGTAATGAAATGCCATTTTCTGGTTGAGTTACGGAGGCTCCGCAGCAACCCTCCCTCCCTCCTGGTTGGCAATAATCACGTTTTTTTTTATATTGTCTCTTAACTGTGGTTGGATGGCGGCACGGGGGTCTGGGGCTCAGTCTTTCCTCTTTCAGGGAGGGGGAGCAGTTGTGACGTCATACTAGTTTGTTTGTTTTCGGATTGGGGAGTTCTGCTTGATAGTTCGGCTTTCTGTGGCAATTTTTACCAGGTGGATTTATTTTGGGGGCACGCCTACCTTTCTGAGTGCCTAACCCAGCCGATGGCAGACATGGAATGCTCCCATCCACATGGGGGTTTCCGTAAGCAATTGCTCTTCGTGGCTCTCTGAGGGGGGCCAGGTTTTGCCTCGTGGTCCCCAGTAGGCAAGAACTCCAATCAAATTGACTGATACCATGGTGTAATACACATATATCAGCCCAGTAATTTTCTCACTACTTTAAATTGTTGAGACACACACAAGTATGCTCAACAATAATAGTGTGTGTATTTCATAATTTTGTAATGTATATTTTATATCTGTTTACAGAGCACAGAGACACCACGAGCGTAGCTCTCATCCTGTAACTACACTTAGGTAATAGTAAGCTCCGGGGAGCAGCCGGGACTCCCAGAAAATGGCATTTCATTACATTTAATACTTTTTTTTTTTTTGTTATAGGTGGGTGATGAACAGCTTGGGGTTGGTGGAGTACTAGTGTCAGCCGAAGCTCCATACATGGTTGGTGATGAAACTGTTCCATGCAATGGGTCAGCGGGTAATGGACCCACTGGAGTATGCCCTTATCCTGCTGGAAAATTCTGCCCTCTGGTTAATGTAGATATCGAGATACATGCCAACCATGACACACCCCTGACTTTGGCTTGTGCAGGTGGCCACGACGAATTGGTGCAGCTTCTACTTGCTCGAGGCGCCGATATAGGTATGATTTTCGTGTAGCATGGAGGTCATTATGAATAATCATAAATTTTCTCAATACTTTAAATTGTTGACAAACACACAAGTATGCTCAACAATAATAGTGTGTGTGTTTCATAATTTTGTAATGTATATTTTATATCTGTTTACAGAGCACAGAGACAAGGCGGGATTCACCCCCTTGATTGCAGCAGCTTTTGCAGGACGTGCCAAGGTAGTAGAAACTTTACTCACTGCAGGTGCGAATATTGAGGCTCGGACTAACTTCACCCAGGAGACTCCTCTCTGTATTGCATGCTCAGGAGGCAAATACAAGGTTAGCACACCTTACTACTCAGGAGCTTGTTCATTTTAATTAACATTATTTACTAATGGCTGTAAATTCTAAATGATTCCTTCAGAATAAGTTAAATCTACAGTTTTTAGTTGTGTAGCCATTATTTTATTTGGGTATCAAAAGTAGATAACTACAAAAGAAATGTATTTATCCTATTTATATGTTTATATGTATTAAATTTATACTAAATACATATTAATATCCATGTTAAATACATATTGATATATTAATATACATAATAAAGATATTAAAATATATTTGTTTTAAATAGAATGAATATATCTTATGTATTTATATATTTTGAGCCCTTCACCTGGGCTCTTAGAGCCCAGGTGAAGGGGTTAGCTAAATACAAGTTTGTCTGTTGCATTTAATAATGCTAGGAATTAATTTTGAATGGCTTTTAAAGTTGGTGCATCTGGTTTGCAGGTGGTAGAAATTCTTCTCCAGCGAGGTGCCAATAAGGACCATAGAAGTGCAGTGGACTACACTCCTCTTGCTCTGGCTGCAGCTAATGGCTCTGTTGACATCATTAAACTGCTGCTTAACAATGGCACAGAGATCGACTCACGCACAGGATCCTCGCTTGGTATCTCCCCACTCATGCTTGCTGCCATGATTGGTCATGTGGCAGCGGTGAAACTACTATTAGACATGGGCTCAGACATCAATGCTCAAATAAAGTACAATTGGAACACTGCCCTTACCCTGGCTTGTTTCCGAGGTCAGCACGAAGTTGTATCACTTCTCCTTGACCACAAAGCTAATGTTGAACACCGTTCCAAGGTAGGCTATAGTCAAATGTGCTGATTACCACTGTTTTTAGCTCAAGTCACACACTGGCCTTTTCAGTATCACTGGCAGTATGAAGTAATTAGATTTTGTTCCTCATACAGTACTTACAAACACAAACTATTGGGTAAAAATACAACTATAATTCCTCTTATAATAAATTATAAAAAACATATACATAGATTAATTTACAATGTGCATGGTAGAACGTTGCAATATTCCTTATATTCCTGCTAACAATGCAAAGGGATAAGTTGATTATGCTGAAGTAGTTAAGATTTCAAGTGGAATTTGGCTATGATTATAATCTAGTGTGCCAGTGCTGGTAAAATTGTTAAAGGATACTTCCTATTGCAAGTGAGCAATGTAGGTTTTAGGGCCCATTTTATTTTGTCCCTCGTTTTGTAGAAATCCACAATGTCTCAATGTCAATCTTTTACTTCAAACATAAAAGCTCTTTATTTTCATAAGGTAGGTTAACATTGAACTTACTAGTGCAGCTGCTTTGCAGCCATTAACATAATTAAATATCATACTTATCGGTAACTGAACTTTGCATTTGAGTTCACTAGATATTTTTAGTTGGTTTACATTAATTTTTGTTAGGAGAATTCATATTGTGTGTAATGTACAAGATTTGATGCGTGTGGAGTGGAATCTTGTTTCTGCCTCGTGCGGGAATAAATGGTCCTGCGGAATTATATTGTTTCATACCATAAATGGAGAAATTAGTTTCTTCCACTGCACAAGTTTGGTGCATACAAAGCTGCCATTATTCACTATATATGGCTATAATTATGAAGTTTTCATTAGTGCAAATATTAAAAAACACGTGCACATTTTAAACCAAAATCACTTTAAAAGAAAAAAGAAAAAAAATTCTGTGAGAGCCCCTTTAGGTCCCCATAGCTATTCCGAGATGATGTGTATATATTAGACTGTGGCAACAGTCAATCGATGGAGTTCTTAGCCTACCGGACACCAAGAGACAGAACTTGGCCTCCCCTCAGAGAGGCACGAGGAGCCTCTCATGCCTCTCCTCTCGTGCCTCTCGTACTTCCCTTGCAGTTTTGGGCTACCTTCCACAACTATTTGGGTGGCCCTCCGCTAGGTCCCCCATGATGGCACTTGTCATAGCGGCTCAGTATTTTGTTTGTATGTTTGGTACTTCTGGGATCACCAGTTAGCAGTACCTTGCCTGGGCTTCCCTTAGCAGTCAGTCTTAGAGTCCTGAAAACACCCATTGGCCCAATGGATGCATCATCTGAGTCCCATCTCGCTTCATGCTCTGTCCCCTTGGGTGACACTCACTGCTTTTGCCTCCACTATGCTGCCTGTTGGGTCAGTGACACCTTTGACCCATAGTCCTGTGAATGGTTTTCCTTGCTTGTACTCCAGTTCAGCCAGTCTGCTGCTATTGATTTTGGGTTGCAGGCAACTTCAGTGTTGCATGCGAGGTTTAGGTTGCTGCAACATGCTAGGTTGGTTGCCTTTCCGGATGCCCTGAGGTTGCCCCGCTTTGGTTATAGGGATCCGGACTTGGGGGTGTTGGACGCTAAAACTTCGGTTTCATCTGTGACCCCAGGTCCTTTCCCTGCTGTAGTTCATCCTGCTTCCGGCTTCCAAACGTCTGAAGGTAGAGAGTTTGATAAAAGTTCGGCTCCTCCTTGGGTTTGGTTCTTGGTTTTCTTAGGTTCCTTGGTTCCCTCAAAACCTTTTCAGAGGTTTTCGGCTTCCCGCATTGAGCCGAGGGAGGTGCAGGAGGCCATTGTGGCTTACCTCCTGCGAGTTCTGGATTACGTCTCAATAATGGATCCTTCTTTAGGGTTTTGCTCCTTTTTTCTAATTGGATGCATTACGAGGTGCTGGAGTCTTCCTGGCTGGCAGACTGCCCTTTCTTTTTTAGGGTGTGAGTTGACATTGGTAGTTCAGGTTTACCTGGGGGGGGGAGGGGGCGAGATGGGGCACCTCAATGTGTGTGTGCCCCTATGTTTCCTCGCGATGTAGGCCACGTGCAGCTTCACATGCAGGTTCCCTCCCTTTTGGCATCCTTGGTAGCTAAAGATTTGTGTGTCCATGGGCATTTGGCTTTGGTCTTGCGCTTCTTTTCCCTGCTGGAGCTGTCTTCGGACTGGCTCGAGGAGGATGTGGAGCAGCCGAGGTCTGGGCCAGTGTCCAGTGCGCTTGCCTCGACAGCTCGGGCATCGGCTGCCTTGTTGAAGTTGTTTACGCCGATTCTAAGGGAAGTGATGTCTGTTTTTGCTTCTCGCTTCGCATGCCGATAGGCGGTGCTTGTCCACTCCTTTGAATCTGCATTGGCCATGGCTCTCAGATTTTCGTCCCCTTTTTGTCCATTGCTGTTTGCAGAGTCTGCAGTGGAGCATTTTCTGCAGGCAACTTTGTCTAGTTGACGGCCTACAGTATCCACTCAATTTAATGACCTCTTTTATACCGATCTGCCGGTAATAACGACCAGTTTGGGAGATAGGTATCTGGAGCCTCGTATACCGGTCTGGTGGTCGATATTACCGACGGTCGGTATTGGGTTTGTTTTGGCATGGGCAGCCCCTCACATGGCGACCAAGCCACCGACCTCGATCATCCAGAGTGGTATATTAAATCTTAATTTTCTTTTAAAATGATTCAGTTTTATGAAGAAAATTCTAAATTATTGTTAATAAAATATTTTAAAACAATTGTTATTAAGCCATTCTTTGTTTTCTTATTAAATACCTTTTATAGTATAGGCAATAGATATTTTTTCCCCACAAACCTAGAATATAATGCGCCTGGCAATGTGACCACTTTGTTTACTGTGAACTTGCGCGGCTGAGAGCAATGTCTCAGAATATTAGCCAGAGAAAATCAGATTCAGACAAAAATAGATAAATTCATGATTACAATGGTTTGTGAAAGCACCCACTGGGAATTTAACAAGTCATGCAGCATGACATGAGATACCAAATAATATACACATGGAAAATACTGGAGGGCCAGGTCCCAAATCTACACAGTAAAATAACAACGTACTGGAGTGAACAATATGGAAGAAAATGCAAGATTAAACCAGTGAAGAGCAGTGGTGCCATAGGCACAATCAGAGAGCACTGTATAGACATCAGAGGTCCGCGGTTGTTCAACGTCCTCCCAGCGACTATAAGAAATATTGCCGGAACAACCGTGGACATCAAGAGAAAACGACTGTTTTCTAAGAGAAGTTCCGGATCAGCCGGGCTGTGGACCAAACTCTCACAAGTCAAGCCTGGCCTCGGGCCGGGCTTGAGGGAGTAGAAGAACTCCCAGAACCCCATCTTGAGGTTATCTTGAGATGATTTCGCGGCTTTACTGTCCCCGTGGCCCGGTCCTCGACCAGGCCTCCACCCCCAGGAAGCAGCCCGTGACAGCTGACTAACACCCAGGTACCTATTTTACTGCTAGGTAACAGGTGCATAGGGTGAAAGAAACTTTGCCCATTGTTTCTCGCCGGCGCCTGGGATCGAACTCAGGACCACAAATCCAGCGTGCTGTCTGCTCGGCCGACCGGCTCCTATCAAGCAGGTAGCATCCACTGGCAACGAGTGCCCTACAAGTCATGCTGCACCCGCCGATGCTGAATTCCCATCGACAAGTTGTGCAGCCTCCACCGGCAACGAATGCTCTGCAAGCTATGCTGCACCTGCCGATGCTGAATTCCCATTGACAAGTCATGGACCATCCGCCAGTATGGGCCAATAGCAGTAGCATCCGCCAGTATGGGCCTCGTATGGGCCAATAGCAGGCAGCTGCTATTGGCCCATACGAGGCAGCTCCTATTGGGCCTGTGTGGGTGTGGCTGCTCACACTCGCGATGTTCTGAATGTGTTGGTAAATGTATGTAGTGTGTGACAGTGTATAGTGTGTACATATGTTGTAAATATACATAAATAAACATTTAACATTGGTGTGAATAACTGTATGATGGGAGGAGCAATGTTGGCGAATACAATGCTGGAGAAGTGAGGGAGGGCTGGCTGGGTGTGACTGCTCACACTCGCGGTGTTCTGAATGTATTGATGGTGAATGTATATAGTGTGTGACAGTGTATAGTCTGTAAATAGATTGTATATATACATAAATTAGCATGATACATGGTAAATATGTGCAACATAAGTGTACTCAAGTGTCATGCACGTAACACAGTGTCTTTGGACAGTACGGATGTTTTACTGCCATAATATAGTGTACGTGTTCATTATACATAGGAGTAACACATAAAAACAAATAAAATGTATTTGGAACTGTGCGCAAAACAAAATTAAAAAAAATATATTCGCGGCAACTCGTGCGCCCCACCGGCCCCAGGAGCTTACGGCACGGGCGTACAGGGAATGACGACGTCACGCGCCACCTTACGGACCCCATAGCAGCCAAAATAAGTACAATTTCAAAATTTTGTTGCTATACCCATAGGGGAGGGGTTTTTGACACTTCCAGAACTAAAAAGAATTTTTTCCCAAGAATTTATTTCTTGCGCACTGGGGGGGGGGGGTGTCATATTTATAGGCCGTGCAGTTAAAGGGTTAATATGTCCCCTTAAGTTTCAAAATGTCACGAAAAATGTTAATTGAAAGTTTCCTCTCCTAACCTTTTCGAGTATGCTGGAGGACTCAAACAGAAAACGGGACAATACATCACTTTCGTGAGCCGATTTCATTTATAATTACGTCCAATTTAAGCCGTAGCGCCCATACGAGCAAAAAGTGACGTAATTTTTAAGAGGACGGGTTGGGGCAGACGTTTGAAAGTTCGCAGCTTTGGCTGTGGTTTTTGGTAATATGTCCTGGGCTGACATTCAAGCATGAGGTTTATGGAGGTCGAACATGGTCCTGGCCTCACTGTACCTTGTTAATGTTCCTGGCCCTAGTAGGGCGTGTTTAACCTTGGATCGCAGGTTCTAGCCAGTTGTCTCGACTTCAAGTTGAGGAGCAAGTGGGGATCGCCTCCTGGGTAAGTCCCTCTTGCTTTATCTTTGGGTAAATAGCTCCAGGAAGCCAAAGGGACTGCCCCCAGAAAACCAGCGTTGAATATAACGAAACCCCATTTTCTGGTTGAAACCCGGAGGCTTCCTGACATACCTCCCTCCCTCCCCACTTTGCTGTTTTTTTGCGTTTTTTATATTCAGCCACTGAACTGTGGTTGGGTTGCCAGCATGGGAGGTCTGGGGCTTCCCCTTCCCCCTTTTGGGGAAGGGGAAGCTGTGCAGAGAGCGGCGTGGCAGCTGTGGTGACGTCATGCTTGTTTGCTTATTTTCTGATTGGGACGTTATCCCAGTAAGGTAAATTAAAGAAGTTAAATTGCTCTCGTTTGGTGCTTGGTTTAAAATTTTTAACAAGCTGTAGTTTGTTTTGGGATTCCTTCCTTTCTGGGTGCCTGACCTGGTAGATGGCAGACATAGACTACTATCCAGACATCCAACTACTTGGGGATGTCTATAGGCAATTGCTTCTCGTGCCCCCTCTGAGGGTCCAGGTTCTGGGTCGTGGTTCCGGTAGGCTAAGAACTCAACTGATTGACTGTTGCCACAATCTAAAATATACACATCAGCTCTGTATAGCTCCGGGGAGCCTCCGGGTATCACCCAGAAAATGGCATTTAATTACATTGTGTTGGTTACTTTTGGTATTTCATTCTAGTCAAGTCCTTCCACTGGAAGTGCAATGGAAAAGTGCAAAGTTATTGTAACAGAATGGGCTTTTTATTTATCAAGCCTTGCAGTGGACTATGTTCTGTTAGAGGGGGGCCAGTCTGCATGTGTGTGTGTATATATAAACTGTTGTGTGCGTATGTGTTAAAGGAATACTCTGTTATATGGAGCAAGTAATGCTATTGAGGATTTCTTGCCGTTATGATGATGGTTCTCCATGATGCTGTTCAGTATGGAAGATATGGTAAATAGATGGGGTCATTTTAAATATCTTAAACATTACAGACACAAATCACAATTGCATGATGCATCAAAAGAACAAATCCACAAGGGCCATGACGAGGATTCGAACCTGCGTCCGAGAGCATCCCATCTGAGCACGTCGTAGCTCAGTCGATTAAGGCAGCATCTGGGATGCTCTCGGACGCAGGTTCGAATCCTCGTCATGGCCCTTGTGGATTTGTTCATCTTAAACATTCATTTTCTGTGCTAGGCTACTATATTTTCTGGCTAAATGCCTTCTGACTTCTTGAAGGTATAAGTGTTAATGAACATGATGGCATTGTAACAAGCTCCATCTGCCTACACAGGCTGGAGTAACACCTCTGATGGAGGCTGCAAGTGGTGGCTTCGTTGAGGTAGGGCGTGTCCTGCTTGACAATGGGGCAGATGTCAATGCTCCACCTGTACCATCTTCTCTAGACACTGCCCTCACCATCGCAGCAGAGAAAGGCCATTATAAATTCGTGGAACTTCTTATACAACGGTAAGTAAAAATAGGCTTGCAGGGCCGCTCCAAGCAACAGCCTGTTGGATCAAGCTCTGACAAGTAAAGCCTGGCCTCGGAGTAGAACAAGTCCCAGAACCCCATCAGGCAAGTTAACTGGATTAATGTAGTACTAGTTAGCTATCCTCAATAAGAATACCTCATGGTTCTTATACTCCTCCTCCCCCCAATCCCTGGGTAATATCGGTAGCCCAGGGGCTACCGATATATATATATATATATATATATATATATATATATATATATATATGTCGTATATAGTAGCCATAACGCACTATCAGCCTACTATGCTGGACCCGATTGCCTATAAGCCAAGTATTCATGAATATTTTATATATATATATATATATATAACTAGATATATATATATATATATATATATATATTGGTATATAATATATATATAATTATATAATAAAAAAAAATGGACTATATATATTATCTATATATTATATATATATATTATATACTATATATATATTACTTATATATATATATATATATCTATATATTATATAGATCTATATATATATATATATATATATATATATATATATATATATATATATATATATATATATATATATATATATTATATATACTATATATACTATATATTATATTTAGTTATTTATTGCTATATTGGTAGCTGATACATACTACTTATATACCAGTACAGTACAACCTCGATTCAACGTACCCCGATTCAACGAATCTCCGGCTAGTTCGCACACTTTTCAGGCCGAATTTATTCACCCGGTTCGACGAACAATGGTTCGCCGAAGCGAGGGATGTTCGGATTTGCTTACGACGTCGAGACAGAGTTCAGAGACTGGTGGAAAACTTTCACATTCTATCACAGATTACAATTATTAATTCCTTCATATGACAAGTTCGATCACACAAGTGGACCGCACAAGTAGACCGCACATGTGGTCCACAAGTGGTCCACAAGCTTACGATGTTGGGACAGTTCACAGTGGTAGAAAACTTTACCATACCATCACAGATTACAATTAATAATTCCTTCATATGACAAGTTGGATCACACAAATGGACCACACAAGTGGACCACACAAATGGACCACAAGTGGTCCACAAGCTTACGATGTTGGGACAGAGTTCACAGAGTGGTGGAAAACTGTCTCATTCTATCACAGATTACAATTAATAATTCCTTCATAAGACAAGTTGGATCACACAAGTGGACCACACAACAAGTGAATCATATGAACCAAACACCAGCCAGAATGGTCCACAAGAAGTGACGCATATTAACCAAACACCAGCCACAGTCGTCCACACAAGTGAACGACTGAGTTTCAATGATTTTTGTTAACCGATTTGTGGCACACGTATCTTTGTAAATTAATTTAACGGCTGAAGCCGTTAAATTAATTAATGAAGTGAATACCTAGCTAATATGTTGAAATCTTCTTATATACATTTTCTGTGATAAAACAAGACGAGTGAGGGTGGACAGATAAGGGAATACTGTACAGTAAACCTCACTTTACAGAGAGGTTTCACTCACTTTCGTCTGTGTTGTCATAGTTCAGTGACCCATGGCTTTGAACATTTTACATCAATAAATCATTTCTAAAACTGGTGTTTTAATAACTCTTTATTATCCTAATTAAACTAAACTAAATAAACCCAAAAATATACTGTAATAAGATAGATATCTCCTATTTGAGAAATTATTCACGTTATTGGCGGCACAACTCCAGCACGAGTGGACGGGTCTAATCCCTGTCCATACAACACCATGTTTGTTGTGCTCGATTTTGTTGCCACAGTTCAGTGACCTACAGCTTCGAAATAATAAAATTAATAAATCGGTTCCAAAATAAGTATTTTTATAGCTCTTATTATCGTAATAATGTTGCTAAACTAAATATATAACCCAAAAATATATAATTTGATGTAAATCGAATATTTAAGAGAAATTTATGTTACTGGATCAGGCTTAAACACCAGCCTACTGAAGGGTGTACGTATAGACTTAGTCTGTGTTCGTACAGTGTGCACCCAGTGCCCTTAGCTTTGTCTGTGATTGACGTACAGTATTTATCCGCCGGTGGAAGAATAATCGTGGAATTGACCATTTTTTTTACTACAGCTCTTTGGTTATAAAACAAAATGTCTCAGGGGCTTACTAATAGTGCCTTATTAATGCCAAAAATGAAGCAATATTTTGCAAGAACTAGTAGCAGAAAATCAACCAGCACGAGAACAGCCGTACCCAACACGAGAACAGCCATACCCAGCACGAGAACAGCCGTACCCAGCACGAGAACAGCTGTACCCAGCACGAGAACAGCCATACCCAGCCGTAACAGCAGTACCCAGCACGAGAACAGCCGTACCCAGCACGAGAACAGCCGTACCCAGCAGGAGAACTGCCGTACCCAGCAGGAGAACAGCCGTACCCAGCAGGAGAACAGCCGTACCCAGCAGAGAGAACAGCAGTACCCAGCAGGAGAACAGCCGTACCCAGCAGGAGAACAGCCGTACCCAGCACGAGAACAGCCGTACCCAGCACGAGAACAGCCGTACCCAGCAAGAGAACAGCCGTACCAAGCACGAGAACAGCCGAACCCAGCACGAGAACAGCTATACCCAGCACGAGCACAGTTGTACCCAGCACTGGTACAACAGCAGCCAGCACCAGCTTGGAAGCAGCTGAACCCACAGCAGCAGCAAGCACCAGCAAAGCTGATGCAAACATCTAAAAACATCGTGTGCAGCATGAACAGGTAGAACAACCGTTAAATTTAAGTGTGTACACAGTGTTAAAATTAAAGTTGCAGTAATTTTAGTGTGCTATAGTTTTCATAAACTGTATTGTAGTACTCAACATACAGCAGAACTACTTTTAATCAACACAGTGCTAACGGCATAATGCACTGCAGTACGTATTGACCTCATGGACTTGCAAATCCGCAAGGCCCGATTTGCCTAATAAGCAAAGTTTTCATGAATTAATTGTTTTTCGACTACCTAACCTAACTTTTTCGGCTACCTAACCTAACCTATCAAGATAGGTTAGGTTGGGTTGGTTAGGTTTGGTCATATATCACGTTACTTCAATTACGTTACTACAATTACTTCCATTCAATACCCATTGTTTCGTGTTCTGTCTTGTGTTTGAATTTAATACCCATTCAATAACCATTGTTGAAAGTTTGTTTTCACCTCATCCACCTCACCCAAATGTAGATATAAAATCGAAGATGAGTAAGCTCTATTCAGTTTCAGTAGTGTGTTTGTAAACTAAAGTCTTTGAAAATGTAATAAGTTTTACGAAACGCGCTCAAGTGTCGCGTCAGACTAGAAATAAAAATGAATTTTGGAGAATTGATCTTTGAATTACCATCAACAGTGAAAAGAAAAAGAAAAAAAAATTCTCGAAAAAGATCGAGAAAATTCGTGTTAGAATTATTAATCTTACTTTTCGGTCATATTTAACAATATATGTCTACAGGAAAGACTGCTACCAAAATATACTGATAGGTATGTGTGTGTATATATATATATATATATATAGTCGTACCTAGTAGCCAGAACGCACTTCTCGGCCTACTATGCAAGGCCCGATTTGCCTAATAAGCCAAGTTTTCCTGAATTAATATATTTTCTCTAATTTTTCTATGAAATGCTGAAGCTACCCATTTCATTATGTATGAGGTCATATTTATTTTTTTGGAGTTAAAATTAACGTAGATATATGACCGAACCTAACCAACCCTACCTAACCTCTCAATATAGGTTAGGTTAGGTTAGGTAGAGAAAAAGGTTAGGTTAGGTAGGTTAGGTAGTCAAAAAAAAAATTAATTCATGAAAACTTGGCTTATTAGCCAAATCGGGCCTTGCATAGTAGGCTGAGAAGTGCGTTCTGGCTACTAGGTACGACTACATATATTATATATAATATATATATATATATTAGATATAATATATTTATACATATATATATATATATATATATATATATATATATATATATATATATATATATATATAATAGATATTATTTAGTTACTTATAGTTATAGTCGTACCTAGTAGACAGAATGCACTTCGCAGCCTACTAGGCAACGACAGCTTTGCCTAATAAGCAAAGTTTTCAGCAATTAATTGGTTTTCGAACTACCAAACGTGAACTAACCTATGAAGATAGTTTAGGTAGGGTTGGTTAGGTGCGGGCATATATCTATGGCAATTTTAACTCCAATAAAAAAAACCATGTACCTCATACCTAATGAAATGGGTAGCTTTATCATTTCCGAAGAAAAAATTAGAGAAAATATATTATATTCAGTTAAAACTTGGCTTGTTAGGCCTGGCCTTGCACTCCTGCTGCTGTCTTCTCCAATTGTGCCAGATCGCTTTTCCTTTTCCTTGTTTCGTTTTTCTCCCCCCCTCTTCTCCTATCTGCTTGTCGTTTCTTTTGCTTGTTTTGGATTATTTCTTTGGACTTCTTCTATTTTGACGCCCGGGTGCTTGAGGAGGCATACTCTTGCACCCGTAGAACTGTAGTACCCAACGTCTCGAGCGAGGGGAACCTTTTATTGTCAATCCCCCTTTCGTCGCTGAACCCCGATCTCGACGGACTGACGGTTCTTAAGGTGTGCGTTGTGGGGCGTATACTCACGACGACACCCTAGGGGGCCCCGGCATGATCGGCGATAGCTTCCTGTTGGGTGTCCTGCCTCTAATTGTGGCTCCATGGTGGGTATAGGGGCACATTCGTGGATGAATTTTCACTTTTCGTCTCTATGTTGTTGAATGTTTACGTTGTACCCTCTCAGGCTCGTGGGGTGGGCGGACCAAGCCCCCGAGTCGGCCTGTATTGGAAGACCAGGCTCTGTAGCTCCCGCTGCGTTGGGCCCCGACCTTGCTCCTCCTTTGACTGTCATGACTTATTCCCCAGCCCCTCCCCTCCTTCTCTGGGGTTGGGTCAAGCCTCCAGCCCCAGGTG